AGAGGGGGGGCCGGGCGGGCGGAGGAGGGGCAGGGCTGGGGCCGCCGGTGAGGGGAAGGGCGGGCGCCGGGGGCTGTAAGGCCGGGAGAGGCGGCCCCGAGCTCCCGGGCCACGCGAGTTTTCTGCTCCTGCAGGACAAAATGCGGCAGCAGAGCCGAAGACACGCGTGCTCCCCTCCCAAATAATCGCCTCAGCCGTCAGGAACGTTGTAGCCGCAATATATTTTTGCAGCTGAATATTAGACAGTCCGATACAGCTTTCTTAACGTCACTCCTCGACCTACTGAAACCATATCTAAAATTAAATCTTTGTTTTGCTTCCCTTGGAGATAAATATATTTCTCACGCACTAAGGGGAAAAAATATTTTCAAATGCCCGAGAAATATTGCCACGGCAGAATTTCTTTCTGCAGGCGCGAAGGTAATGTTATAAAGTAAACGGCTGAGACAAATAACTGTTTAACTTCCAGCGTCCTTGAAGCCTTAAGCATTTTCCTGATTGCAGTCTTCAATGGCGCTTTCAGCGCAAAGATTAATAAATCTTCGCGATGTGCTAAGAGCTACAAGCTGACAACGTAAGCTGAACTGTGCTCTCTGGACTCTGCCGTCTGCCCGTTCCTGTTTAGCTCCTAATAATTTGCAAACGAAGGGAGGAGAGAAATGTATTTCGGTGGGTGCGGGCTCAAAAGGCCGTTTCTTTCTCAGCTCAATGCCCGCCGCCCCATCGCAGCCCTCTCTCCAAAGCCGCCTGACGTTTACAAGCTCCCCTTCGCTTTACAGCGCAAAGCTAGTAAGCGTAAACGTAAAAGCATAACCCAAGGATGAATTAAGGCAGGTAGCGGAGGGGATGGAGGGAGCAAAAAAAAAAAAAAAAAAAAAAAAAGCTGTGAGGGGGAAAATGGCTTAAATCAGCTGTGAGGCTGAAACTGGCTTTCCCAGCCTCAACACGAAAGCTGCTGCAGAAACGCAAACACCCCCTTGAAATCCTTTCTGCACTACGTGGCACGGTATACGTGAAATCCGTATTTATTTTTTTTTTCCCCCGAAATATGGCGAGGGGAGTCGGAACAAGAATATAAGGATTCACAGGAGGGAAGGTGTTTGCTTTTATAGGTGGGTTCTCTTTATTTTTTTGCCGTGCCGAGCCTTTCCCCCCCAGTGCTCAGTGGCTATGGGAGCAGGAGGCAGAACACCGCATATTTTTCCGTTTCCTCCGTTTCCTACCGACCGGCTCGAATTTGTCCAAAGAGCCGAGGCGAAGCGGTCTCTCCCCGGCGCTGCCTTGGCGCACCGGAGTCCCAAACGCTCTCTCTACATTTGAAGTTTTATTAGTTGCGAGGCATTCAAAATGAGAGTCGGGGTAAAAACTCCTTGCCCAGCCTCGCCCCGGGGGGAATATTGGGCAAAATACCCCGCTTCTTGTACCCCGTCCCTGCGCTCCGGCCCCCAGGGTGGGCTTTGAGAGCGGGCTGTTCTGGCAGGCACCTAACGCCCCCTGACCCCCTGAAAAGCCAAGAACAGCCCCCCTCCCCTCCGCCCGGTGGGCAGCACGACGGGGGTTTCACCGAAGGGCCAAATCCCGGCGTGAGTACAGGGCTCCCGGGGGTCGCCGCTCAGGGGGAGCACCGGCTCCGCTTTGCAAAGCGAAGGTTGCGCCGGGGCCGGCAGCCCGGCTGGGACATT